GCCTATTTATTAAACGAAACAGTATTCTTCAAACGTGATGGGTCGACTAATACTGAATCAGATTGTAGCTAGCATGAGGTGCTAAGCGATTAGCATTTACAAGTATTTTCTTGGCCTTATCTGCTCAAAGGTGTCAAACAAATGTGAGTAGTTCTCTTCAAAAGTAAAATCGAGCCAATTAATCAGTACACATAGGAAGTAATGGGCTCCTGGAACACAAGAACAAGACTTTCAACATTCGACTGACAGCCAACTCCTCACTTGACTGGAACGACGACTCCCACGAAGACTGTTGAAGTGTCAGCCACCACTTCCGGTAACTGTCCTTCTCAGGACTTCTCCGCTCGCCTTACGATCAGACAACACAATAAATGAATCTTTTCTACTACGATACAATGCAATACAAACTTTGTTAACACTCCCCAGGAGGGTTTTCGGCGTTAATCATCTAAAATTAAAATATATAGGATAAATCTACAATACGATCGCTATAAAATTACAATAAAAAATTACAATATGTTAAGACGTTAAAATTTCACGTAAGAGTTTATTTCTTAATTTCTTTTACAGATAAAAACAGAGTCACATAATGTAAAAGTATTGTCTAAATCGTTCCATAACGAAACTGTCCTGTAGCGCTCTTAAAACGAGGAATGTTAAGAATGTGAGAATTTCTAGTGTTGAATGTTAAACCAGACATTTGAATGCAAGTACGGCATCGCCATATTATAGCTGCGATTTGACTGGAAGAAAGTGTAAATCTTTTAAGATCTGGCTCACGTTATCGAACTTCCTGGTGCTGCTGATGATCCGGATGGCGAAGTTCTGTATAGCTTGAAGCTTAAGTAGATGTGCAGTTGCTGCATTCGACCAAACGAATGAACAATAAAACAGTTTACTAAATACGAGGGTATTAATTATTGTCATTAGAGTATTTCTATCACACATATGCTTAACACGACTGATTCGAGCAAGGCTGGACATACAAGACGCAACAGTTTTATGGATGTGATCGTAAAAATTGAGGTTCGGATCAAATGTAACGCCAAGATCTTTATCGGTTTATAGTAAGATCTTTCCCCAACAACGATAAACGTACGTCAGGGAGTTTGGAGAGCATTTGGCGACTTCCGCGACCAGAATTTTTGGGATTTCTCTTTACTTGATCTGCCATGGACTCGCGTTCTGCCTGTCTAATCCCCCTCTTAACTTCGTGTTTAAGATTCCTGTATTCGATCCAAGCGTCTGGATCGCCGGTCCTTCTTGCCAACTTCCGTCAATAGTCCCTTATTTTCATAGGTTCTCTTATCTCGTCCGTAAAATACAGGTTTGGTCGGCTCCGTAATTTGATCGTTTTTCCAGGTGCGTGTTCATCCAGGACTTCCTTGAATAAAAGATTGAAGGCATAAAGGCTATCTTCGATGTCGTCGAAACGGTCGACGTCAGACCAAGGGACTTAAGATATATCGTGGAGAAAAGCCTGGTGTTATAATCCTTGAAACCCAGGTCGTTATACATACCGGCCGTAGGACGTTGTCGCCGAAGTTTAAGAACAGCAAAAACTAAATTGTGGTCACTACTAGAAACAGGTATGACCTTTGTATCTCTTACTAGGTTTTTATTCAACTCGAGGATGACGTCTATCAAAGTTGCAGGTGACTCAGTGATCCTTGTCGGCAGATTTGTCAATTGAGTTAAATTATGTGAGGAACAGACGTTGATGAGAGCTTGTGATGCAGGATCGGATGACTTTAGTAGGTTGCAGTTCAGGTCGCCTAGGATAAAAATAGGTTTATTTAGTGACATAGCAGAAATAACATCACTAAAATCCGTATGAAAGTAGTCTGTAGTCGTGGAAGGAGGCCTATAAGCCGTGCATATCAGGAATGAATTGCAGTTTCCTGCCTGGACTTTGAGCCATGATAGGTAAAGGCCAGATTCAGTGATCAGTGACAGATCGCCATGAGATTATTTTTCACAAAGGCACACACGCCGCCTCCAACTTTGTTTGGACGATCAAGACCAAAGATGGTATAACCCGGGATTTCGATCTCAATATCCAGCCAAGTCTCGCTAACGGTAAAGATGTCAAACTTATTCGCAATGACATAGTCCTTGATGAGGGCGAAGTGGTCCCTGTTCTTGGTAGTACAGAGCGAGCATTCAAGTGAGCTATTGTGAAATTGTCTTCACGGCGCTTCGGAGTTTTCGTGTTAGATCGCTCATTGGTGTTGGTCCTGCCAGTCATTCCGGGATTTAGTTTAACATTACCGAACGAAAAAAAAGGGTTGATGGCACAAGACGCAGTGAAATTTGAATATTAAAGAACTTTGGGTTTAAAGAACCTTTAGAAGTGAAATTCGCAGATCTGTGAATACTATCATGGTATTGTTTTTAAGAACAGCGAATAAAGGCTTCTGGAACTTCTGGAGCTTCTGGAGCTGAACAATCATGCTTTCTGTGCTGTATAGGTGAACCATTTCAAAGTCATATCAAAATAGCCGCAATAGAGCAAGTATCAAGTTGACAAGTTTAGGTGATGTTACCGATGGAAGAACGAACCTGCCTGCTCGTTTCGCTACCGCCGCCATCTTGAAGTCATATCGACTAATATATGTTTTTTTCTTTTTATTTACTATTTAGTTGAAAAAGAATTATCAGATGGCAATAGAGCCATCGATAGAAAATTCACCGACCAGGCGATATGACAAATCAGTCAGCTCCGATTACGAACCTTGAACAGCTGGCCTTCAAACGTTTTGCTTGACTTCTGCTCTCAAACAGCCTCGCACACTCTTATTGGTTATTTCAACAATCCGTCAATCAATAATTCTCTTGTCGACAGCATAAAAGATTCCGAGAAAAAGCGGTAGAGAAGATTAAGGTGTTATGTAAACAGCCCGAGATATTGCATAGATAAGGTAAGGTGGGGGTGGGGGGTGGGGATGGCGTAAAGTGAAGTAAGGAGTCAGCCATCGTTGGTTTTCAAAAATAAAAACTCAATTAAACGCCACAACTTTGAGTTCTGAATAGAAAATGAAAAGAGACCAAATGGGCTATATACACACTAGCGTATTAAAAAAACAATAGATTTCCCATTATGATAAAATTCCTCATGCGGTTCATTTCGGCGTGGACGCTCTTTCTTGGAAAACTTGAAAAGCCGTCACGCTGTTTTTCATTCATAAATTTTGCTGTGACAGCTGGTGCTAAAAAAGGAAAAGTTTGCTCTTGCATCAGATTGTCATGGTCATTTTCCGAGAAAATCAACAAGAAATTTCGCGGAAGTCGTTTTATTCTCGATTCCTAGAAACCAAAAACAGGACCCGTAGGTTTTAACCACGATTACAAAAGCAATTATTGAGTCAAGTTTATATGAAACGAAAATTGTAAGGACTGATGTTGTGTTCCGTTGTTCTTTGTCGTAGAAACTACGAACACAAAATATTTCGCTTTTAAAACTACTCAGCATTTCGCAAAGTTACCTCCACCGTGCCCGAAATTACTGACGGCGTCTCATGTCTGATAACTTAGAAAGCTACTCGCTCTATCACGGAGACTGAAATATTTGTTTCTGATTAAGAAGTTGGTATTTTAAAATTTGGAAAATGAAGCTGTGATGTAACAATTAATACGACATTCTACTCTAAAATTGCCAGAGAGTGGAAGTAGTGTTTATTTTCCCTGCAAAATATTCTCAATCTAATCAAAGTCAAACGCAGGAGGATCTGAAATAGCTACTCGCAAATTTTAAATCAGACCAAACAATTTTAACTCCTTTTTTTTCAGCCAAGAATAACGGGTTTCAATTTCGATGGTACCCGTGGTTATTCTGATGAAGACCTTTTTTTATACACATGTCGCTTCAAGACCGAAAGAGTTCTAACAGGAAAATAAATTCTTCATTGTGTCACTGCAATCTGATAGTAAGACAGAAATACAGTGCAAACATTTCAGTATGAACACTACGAAACATTTTGGAAAATTTATTCATCAAAAGCAACAGAGACTTGAGAGACGCTTAATTAAGATTGAATTCTAGATTGTAAATTTTGGGCTGAGTTCTCGAGTAAAGAAGCTTTTGGCTCGAACTTTTGTGCTAAGCGTAGGACTGAAAGGAACATTCTGCTGAAGCTCGTCTGAGAGTTTAAAGTCCAATCAATCGCGATTTCATGCCCCACCTATTTATACGTAACTTTGGAGATTGTTGGCGATTAGAGGTTCGAAACCTCACAAGACCTCGATCGCACATGTTTTTAAGTAATATATCAAACACGAGGAAGAGTGTTTCATCCGATATCCAAACACCAAGAAGCGGTTGAAAAAACGAGGCGCAGCCAAGTTTTTTTAAACCAACTTCAAGGTATTTGGATATCGGATGAAACACCCTTTCGAATGTTTGATATAGCTTCTCAAACCATTCATAATTCTTGGAGAAAATCAAAACAAAAGTTCACCAAATTTTATGATAATTAAGTTCACATATCCAAACCTCCTTCACAGTTGTAATTTCCTTTGTTTTCTCAGCATGAATTATTATTGAGTTTGAGAAATTACTATTCCTCAACCTGAGGCTATTTTGCTGAAATCAAAAGAGGTGTATCAACGGAAGGAATAAATCAAGCCGAAGGCATAAGGCAGTAAGGTAAAAATTCCTTGGTACAAATTTTGAAATCATTTTGTATTATTTGCTGTATCGTTGAAAACAAAATTTTCGTCAGCCATTCAGTTCATGGTTCATCTGCAATCAACACTTATTTCCGACAATTTCTGAGTATTGCTCCTATTTCTTAGAAACAAATGTCAACATCCCTTCAAGAGGGGGGTAAGGATAAGAGTGTGATGCATTATCTCCACGAGGTACCCCTGCTCAGTCTTATTTGCAACGTCCACAAAACGTTTCTCTTACAACAAACTTATATGATTACCAGTTATGCCAGTTCAGTCAAATAGTCTACATGTTATGGTGAAAGGATACTCGAAGTCGAGAGATTTTTATGTCTAAATCAGCCATAACACTAATTGCCGAATAAAATTTGGGAAATATTTCATATTGTGGTAAAGGTTAGGACAATTGGTATTTATCCTCACTGAACGGAGGGATAAAAATTTAAAGGCAATATGATCTTCTTAAGAGCTTCTAGGAAAGGTGAACTCTTCACTTCCTTCCATACGTGATATAGTGATATAGTTCGTTTGTACAATGATTTCGATGCAACTGTCTCTACTAGCAAAGATCTTTACACACGAAAAAAGCTTAGGATTTTTCGCTGGAGCATAATTTTTGTTAACCGTACGTGTTCCTCTTAAGAAGTACTTCCGGTATTTCAACAATTAACGTACATTGCAAACTTTTGAGATTATTGCAGCTTTCGCCCAAAGCTCAAAGAAAACTGACCTCAACAGTAATAAAGCAAATTATTTTACCGATTCACTACGAGGCCTAATGTGCAATTTCTGGACTAAATTTTGTTTTATTCACACAGAAAGACAGGTAAATATTGGGACAATAGGAAGCCTTTGAGACTCTGCTCAAACTCGTCTAAGTCAATCAATTTTTCTTTTGAGAATCAGTAACTTTTAGCTTTTCTGAGCATCTCCTCAGAACTAATTTTCAACTTAATGGTGAGATATCGTTCTCTAACCTTCTAAAAGGTAGCGAGCTGTTTCCTTTGCAGATTTGTTGCAGTTTCGCTGAAATAAGCAGGTCAGTTTTTAAAACAATGATCGAGAATAACAATAGACATGAACTATTCTAAAGTGTTCCGGTGTAAGAGGGCGATATCTCCGTTTCCATCCGCGTGGTGTTACCCAAAAAAACGTGCACAGTCTTACGTTCTATGGAAAATAAGGTTTTCCCCTTCACGAGATCACTTGGTTAGATCTTAAACGCCAAAATGCATGTTTACGCTCGATTTTGGTTGCTTCTTTTCCTAGAAAATCGTATTGCTTTAAACTTCCGGTTCAATTCTACGAATTCGTAATTGTGACTACACGGTTTTCTTTTCCCGGAAATGCGTCTTGAATGATCGTTCAGATATAAATACGCCAACTATGTTACTTACGAAATACATATTTAAGATACTCAGACTGTGGAACCATGGTAGCAGATTCAGGGAATTGACGATAACAAAATTATGGGTCACAAGGAACATGAAGATCAGTCGGTGTTGTAACGAGCTAAGCGTCAGGACTCAGAGTTACTATAGTCGTTTGCGAAATCGATGACTGCTGATATACACGCTGTTTCTTCGCTAGAGGTTGCTGTCAAAAGATTGGAGAATAGTGGCTTTTATTGGGGAGCCATAAGTGGAATCAAAGCGAAAGCTGTTCTTCGAGATCAGGCGATTGGGACGTTTCTTGTTCGCGACAGTTCTGACTCGCGGCATTTATTTACTATAAGTTTAGTCACTGCGGTTGGGATTACAAATGTCAGAATCGTATTTTCAGAAGGTCTATTTTCTCTGGACAAAAAGGACACATCGAAGACAAATACAAACACGAAATTCCATCATAGTGGTCCTCCAAAGTTTGACTGCGCCGTAAAGATGGTTCTTTATTATATGATAGTGACAAGAAAGATTTTACAAGCGAGAGGAAGAAGCTCGTTAGATGAACTCGAAACGACAGCAACTGCCAAGTTTTTTCTGTGGCGTCCGCTGTATAAGGAAGTTGCCAGTCTCCAACATTTATGTCGTAGAGCGCTTAACAACCAACTTTTGGCTGGTGGATCCAACGAAGACGCAAAGAGGATTCCACACACTGTGAAATTTTACTTGTCGAAGTATCCTTACCCAGTCTAATAGGTATATGGAACGAAGTATTTTGATTGAGTTATGCAATATTTTCTGAATTTTCGCTTCCTTATTTTGGCGTTGAAGCAATCGAGTTTGCCTGACTGTTAACGGCTGCGCTCTTGGAGTGAAAATATCTTCCTTCTCTCAGTATATAAACATTATCACATCACAGAATTCAAATGTATAGGTATCTAAAACGTGCATTTATGGTCAATTGCACAGGACTCGATAAGTTATCGAAGATTTACGAATTCGTGGAAGTGTGGCCATCACACTGGTCGCTTTCCAAACTGTAAATTTAAATCTATAAAAAGCTCCCATCAATCCAATATCATCGTTCTTTTGAGAGTGAATTGAAAAGATGTATATATAATTTGTGTTGGATAAAGTCCATAAATACAATGTGAATTATTCTTTAAGGAGGAACAAGCGACACCGGAGACACTTTTTTCTTATAGTAATTTAACTTCCCGTCTTTCTCGAAACGGTTACTTTCGCTATTACTTCCTCGGAATAAAATTGAATATTGTTCTGTTTTTAGCCCTGTGTGACCTCCACAAGGTTCAGTTCCAAGAAAATTTCCTCTTTCACCCGCTACTGGTTTCGTTTTTTGACTGGTGAGCAACTCCAGAAAAAGAAATTTCGTTGAGTTCACCGTAGAGTTTCATAAACTGAGGCTTATTTAAAAAAAAAAAAAAACACATACATCAGAATTGTACCAATAATTCGAAGATAAGCAATGTTTTAGACATCAGTACATCATTAAAGAGATTTGTGACTTCAAAGTGAAAATAATTGTCTGGGTACCACCCAGTTTCTTTCAAGATTACATCGATCATTCACGATTTTATAGGAGAAAATCAGATCTTTAATTTGTGTTACTTCGTGCATTAACCCCAAGGAAGTTGTCTTTTTTTCACTAAAGGAAGTCTTTTGAAATAACCAGCTGCGGTATACTATTACTAATACTAATGGAAAAATATTTCCATTTTGAGCAGATGATTGTCTCTCTAAAAGCAGCAAACAATGAGTGCGTAAGACATTTTAGCACTTTCGAAGGTGGTAGTGGTTACCATAATTGAAAAATTTTGACTTATTTACTTAGTAAATGATTTTGAAAAAAAAGTTGAAATTTAGGAAGATTCAGTATCAAAAAGGATACATGACATTCTTAAGATCACGTTAAAGTGAGGAAATGTTGCATTGCCCAAGGATGAAAACGTTGATATTTGGAAAATGACTTGTAGAAATTTTTGCTTCGATCAAGTTGTTTCTCGAATGTTCAATCAAGTTATCGTGCATACTAAAATCTCCTAGCATGGAGATGTTAGGTGACGTCAATAACTCTTGCGTCATATAGTTTACGCCACCGCGTTGAACAAATGCGTGCAGTGTTTGCAGACTTAGATACTAATACACCGCTGACCTCGATAATTTCTTCGAGAGTGCTCAAGAATTCTTTGACTTACAATGTTTCACATTTAAAAAAACCCTTAATTATTCTTCCTTAAAGGTTAAACTGTTACATTTGAGTTAACTTCTCTGACAGACAATTAATAGTGTTCAGCTTAGTTCTAAGTCCATTGAATGTTAAGTGGTTAGTATATATGTCAGTAATATCAAGGCCTCGAGTTCCTCACAAGCCTGGCTTGAGGCTAGTCAGGCTGCGTCTTTCACATCTCGCCTCATCACCCTTTCCTTATGGAAAATCTAACGGTGCTCATCTGATAGGGTGTGTATTTCAGCACGAATTTGCATTTACTGCGACCAGAATCTCGATCCCGAACTGTCTGAAAATTTTTCGTATGAACACATCAGCTGACTGACACCGATCGCCTTAACGGACGAAACTTGAAAGGTTTTGTCTTGTTCATCCTGGCAACCGAGCTGAAGATTCCAACACTAACATTTAATTAGCTAGAGTTCCCCATCTGAGTGACCAAACCTATCTTCTGAGCTCATTTTAACATGATTCAAAGATACCCCAACTAACTGCCGCCATCTTGAATAATAACAAAATCTTAAAGATGTCGAAAAAAACAACAACAAAAGTTCTCAGTACCTTAAGCACAGACTACGATCTTAGAAAGGGTCGCTTGATGTCATCCGCATAACGATGCTTAATTATTTACCTTTGCTTAGGTAAGCAAGCAGTATTCTTTTCTTAACCTCAGTAAACGCCCTCAAACCATCGCACCTCGGTAAAGAGCCTGGAATCGAGTTAATCAGAAAGGCTCGTGACACCCGTGACATCACAGTGAGCTGAGGTGAGGCTAGGGGAGGGCTTGGGGAAGAACATTTAACTTGTAATGGGGGAGGGGAGGAGACTGATCGAGTTTAAAAAAAACGTAACAAGGCGCATTTTGTCTCATATAAAATTTACTAAGTACCAGTTCACCTAAACTTTTTAAGAGGTCAATATTCCTCCCGGCTTGTCATTCACATGTCTTCTCTTTGATGAACAAACTCACCAAAACCCACCAGGTCAGGGTTTTCTGCCGCCGAGATGTCAAAGCTTGAAATCCATCTGTGACTTGCGACAAACTTGTCTTTTGATCGAAGAAACCCAGAGTACTAGGAGTCCATCCTGACAGTACATAGACAATTTATAGTCATAGCTTTGGCGAAAGTAAAAGCGGGCATTCATTCTTTGTTATTACTCGGATTCAAGGAACACAACAGTTCTACTTCCTCAAATCTTTAAGCCCTCGAATTGCCGTGATTCATCGCATTTGGATTATGTCACGCTGGTCTGGTCAGGCCAATCATAGCTCACCTAACCTAACTTAGTTCCCAGGACCCCCTTTTCTACCCTACTTTTCAAAGAGAGCCTCGTGACAAGGTAATCCTGTCTATGATAACACCACTTCGGGGCCTCTCAAGGTTGACCCTTGATACCATAACAAGCATATTCTTCATACTGTTCTCTATGATTCCTTATGGCGCAGACAAAGAAAACTTATTTCACAATCAGAAGTTTCTTAAATTGGTGATTTGAGAAGCTTTCATGTTCTCTAATCAGCAGTGAAATTGTGAAGGGAAATCAGATGCTAAATATCTTCTACTGATCTAAGGGCTAATAAAACTATCAGTAGTATCACCCAAGCTGGCGTTATACAATTATCTGCCAGTTCGAGGCAGCGGGTTTAGTTAAGTCTGACCCAAAAAGAAAAAAATCCTGTGGTATAACGCAGCCCTTACTTATAGTAAGCAAAAATGTTGCGTGACAAAAAAAAAAAAAAACAAAACAAAACACAGAATAACAAAAGTCAAACAAATCACCACAACCTATTTATCAGTAGTTTTTATTAAGCACGTTGTCTTTAAAGCGTTAGCTAACTCAGTGACGATCTGTGGAAAAATTTGGATACAATGGACAGCACTGACTCGCAAGCTTCCGATTCTGAGTCCCGTCGAATTTTAAAGAGTTTGGACTCCTAGTATTCAAAATGGAGAATAAGAAATTTAAAAATGTATTGGAATATTGTTGAGAACAAACTTCAATGAAACAATCTCTGACGATCATTTTCAAATACGGAAAAACGAGGTTCTTGATCACTTCCTGAAAGCAGTAAAAAAATAATTAAATAAAGCTACCAATCCACGAATAACCATTTTATTTCGCGCGATTTCCTTAAGACTGTACGTCACAAAAACTAAGGCCTCACGAAACTAATCACCGGCGCACAACTTCACGCTGAAAAACCAGCGCTGAACGCGGGAAAAGTCATTGAACTTTACTCTGATTGGACGAAGGAGACATGACCCTTGGAATTCATCCACTAACCGAACAGACAGGGCAACACCGACGCAGAACTCCCCTTGTTCGAAAACCGCCGTACCAATACTACGACTGCTCGTTTTCCTTTTTTGGTATAAAGATAGGAGTCACATTTGATGGTTTATGATGACAATACGGTGAGGCAGGACATCCCACAATTAATACATGATTTCCTTTGATCCATAACCGCCACATACTCTTGTGAAAACCTCTCACATCCAAGTCCCATATCTTTAGACACTTTGCCAAAGCGCTCCAAGTGATCCAATCCGTGGGATGATCCATTTTGATGTAAAATATAAAGTTTTTGCCTTTCTGTTCTGGAACAAACTCCTCGCTTGTGCAAGGGTTCTTGGAATGATCGAGAGTACTTGAAGAGCTGTGTAAACAAAAGGCAGAGTAATACATAAGTTTAAGATAAGAGACGCGTAACTCTCTTTGAAATTTCCGACGAAGCTTTTAGACAATGTAATTCATGTTAATCCGGGGGAAGGTGGGCACTAAAGACGGAGAGCAAAAGAGGAGGATGGAGAGGGGGGGGGGTGGTGGAGCGGTGACAGTGAGGGAGGCCTTAGGAAACTGACGGGAACCATAGTCTCCAAGGCAAGAAAGAATACGACGAAGAAGTAATACCTTAAAGTGAAACACAATTTCCATAACAATTCAAAAGCAACCTAGGAGTAAGACTCACCTAATTAAACGCTCGATCTCAATCTCGTAATTATCCTTCTTCATTTTTTCCACGTCAAACTTGACATTTGACTCGGTGTTCAGTGCATGCTTTTTAAAATACATTTCTTGGAAATACGGGTGCATGTTGAGACCTTTGGATCCAAAGTGATATGTGCGGGAAATATCAGGAATTATACACTCCCTGTCCAGTCTGATCTCAGGGAGTCTCATCCACATATCCCAGTCCCAGAACTTGTCTGGTGTTGGCCACTTGGGTTCCAGTTCCTCTTTGTATAACTTTCGTTTTAGCACCCTTTAAGATAAAAAGAAAAGGGCTCAATATTTCCAGTTGAGAAAAAGCTTTTTCTTTTTAATTCGATCGCGCAGTGAGGAAAGACAATTTGGTTTCATCAAATGAGCTGATGATGTAAATTGTCCACCGAGCAGAGTTTCCAAAGCTGACGTTAGAGCGAATAGAGTTGTTCGTGTTTATATGCAGAAATATAGAGGAAAGCGAGGAAAGTAGCGGACAGGACCAAATTCTGGTAGATGGTGATTTCACGTCGATTCAAAGTCAATTCAACTTCAGCCTGCCTTCAGACATCTTCCTGGGACTACTGATAATTTGGGTTCATTTTAATAACTAGCGTTTGATGTGCTTTCTGTACATCTACTTCATTATTACATTGTCCTTTCGAAAGTCGCTTGTGCTGGCTTGAACATGTTTTAAATGCCTTTGCGCTTTAAGCTTTTCACGATTTGCTAACAAAACGCCCAAATCGGCCATACGCTTGTGACTCTATCGTCCAGCAACAAACCTCCCCCACCCCTGTCAAGTTCTTTGCTAATGGCTCTTATGAAGTTGCTCTTGAGCCGAATTTAACCCCGCCAGCAGGTGGAAGACTTTCGACTCACACTGTGACGTCGCATAAGTAATCCATGCTTAAAATTAGTCTCATTTTACTCCTCTTTGCTTCTTCTTCTGCGTCCTGCGTTAGTGCTCGGCATTAACATGTATTTAATAGATAATTCTTCTTACGTCGATGGAAATAACGTAAGTAAACTCAGTGCATTTTAGTTTCATAACAGCAGTTAAGACACAGGGTAAAAATACCTTGGTTCAGGGCGAAAAAGCCA